TCATAATGACAAACGGGCACTTCGACGTTGTGCAATGGTTACCAAGTTTGTCTCACTAGATTAATTACGACTCGGTGCTCCACACTTTTGCCCTTGTGCCGCATCTAAGCTACGCTTAGAAAATCAGTAATACTTCCCTTATGTAGGCGAAAGCCTATGCGAGGGAGTTTAAAAAAATAAGCCCAAGCCCGAGTGGACCTTCCCTCCATGCAGTACTTCTCCTTTGGGGGGGGGGGCTCTGGGTTCATTGTCCGCCGCCTGAAGCGTCCCAAATTGGAAGTGATGAGGGGCTTGGGCAATTTTTCCACGGTATTGCCGTTAAACCCACTTTAAACCTCTACCTTGTGTCCCATTCTGTAGTGACGTGGGCGCTCTGGTAAGTACACCCCTTTCATAATGACAAACACTTAATGTTAAGCCTACGCCATTGAGACGTCTGCTTATTTTCTACCAACGCCATTGGTCAGTTTTCGAGTTTCAAAAAACGGCCAGGATTTCTGTATACCGATTATCACACGGGTTCTTCCTCGCACTAAAGACTGACAAAACGCTAACTTCCTACCCCTTGTATATCACTTACTTGGCCTTATGCCATACAAAGCTATGTTGAGTAAATATTTGTACTGTTTTTGTTTTGTTTTTTTTATTGTTTTTTTGTTATTTTTTTTCCTTCTGCAGTGCCTAGTGATATTTCTATATTCGTGGCATGAAGTAAAATTGCATCTTAATAGTGAACCTTGCAAAGGTTATTCGCTTCTTTTTTATCAGCCGCTCACCCCCATCAATCTAATGTTATTTCTTTGTCTTTACTTGACAAAAAACATTCCGGCCATCAACAAGTGGGAAAACCAGCAAAAATTACATAAACACTTAATTATTTACGGCATTCAATTCTTTTCTTTCATTCTACTTGAGTTTTGATGGATATTTAATTCGAAGACAAGGAATTTCACAACCTCGACGACTATTTATGATCTGGTATGTGCCTTTTTCTCGTTATACACACATCTCGCTAGCCATTAACAGAACGTTCGTTTCTCGTTGAGTTGGACTCCAACAGTATGGCTGTGTGCCAAACGTGATCCCGTCCAGTATCAGCCAATACATTAAATACTTCTGCCACGTCTGTTCTGGTGCCTCTGCTTCGTATTTAGAGACTCCCGATAAAATACGAAGAAGAATCTGCAATGTCATCGGTCTTTACCTGGCATCCCGGCTTCGGTCATAACGTAGCTTCCCTGTACTGTCTCTATAAATATTTTCAATGATCATAGTTCTGATGATTTTTTTCTATTCTAAAATAAATACATTGGGGAAAAATAGGGACCTGTACAAATCCAAAACATTTTTTGAAGTAAAACTGAAGTGGTCAAAAACCGAAAAAAAATGGCTTGTATTTATTTATGTATTTAATATATGATTAATTCGTATTCGATTAGTGGGATGTAACTTCTACTCGAGCAGCTTCTTCCCACGAACTGCTGCTTTGTGGAACCGACTCCCAAGAGGATGCTTCTCCGATCACTACAATCTTAACCTGTTCAATTTTAGGGTCAGCTATTATATCCCCCACATATATCCACATAAACTGTGCCTCTTACTCGGTAATCCTCTACCTAGAGTGACTCTTAGGCCTTGTACTATGAACACTGTAAGTACCTAGGCTTTATGAATTTAAGCGCAGTACTAGCTTCGCGATAAGGTCTCGTCATTTTATAGCTGAAATGGCTAATCACCGCAAGTTCTATGTTAACAGTTTCTTCTCTCGAACTTCTCGCTTGTGGAACTCTCTTTCGGTTTCTTGCTTTCCAACTTTGATCTTCAAAAATTTAAATACAATATCAATCGTTATATTCTTCCATATGTCGTGCTACTTTAGAACGTGGACAATTATGGCTCTCCACAATTTTCTATCCTTCTAGCTCTGTAGGTTATGTGCTGTTTTCCTCTTGCCTTCAATCTGTCCTGTGAGTGTCAAATTTTGCAAGGCGTCTTGCTCTGGAAATTTCAATTGCCTTTTTCTGTCTCCTTTTTTTCCATTTGCTCTAAAACTTCGGCATTGCTCACATGTTCAATCCGTGATATTCTCAGCATCCTTCTGTAGAACCGCATTTCTGTTTCCTTCTTTATCCTTGAGGAGATTGACCAGCATTCACTAATCGTATAGGAGGACCGATAGTATATAACGATTAAGTATTCTTTTCTTTATTTCTCACGAGATTTTCCTGTTTCTTAATACTTTGCTTTAAATTATTTTTTATACCTTTCAACAAAAAATGGATAGATTATTTTTCAGGTTTCGTTTTCCATAGTTCTCTTTCTTTAATGTTTCATTTTCTCTTATTTTCTCACACTCAGTAACCTTTGCATTTTAGTGACTTTATTACCTTGTTTGGTGGGGGATGGTGAAATATATATATATATATATATATATATATATATATATATATATATATATATATGTGTGTGTGTGTGTGTGTGTGTGTGTGTGACGTGTCTTGACCTCATGGCCACGTAGGACCTCATGATCGAACGAAGCCCAAATAGTGCTTTTGAACACATATCTTTCCCGATTCTTGTAATATAAACATACGTAAACAAAGACATTTTTTAGGAAATGGATTAAATTCATAAATATAATTTTCAGGCCGGTAGTTGTAAATAAATATACTGTTTAAAAATAAAACAGAGCATCTACTCAAATATGAGTACACATTAAAAATAACTTTTAAGCAAATAATTTAAAATATGTCGGATTTAATCCATTTATTAAAAATGCCTCTGTTTAAGCTAGGCTTCGAAATAAAGCAGATATGTATATTCCGAAAATCGGAAAAAATATGTGTTCAAAAGCACTATTCGGAATATAGATAGATAGATAGATAGATAGATAGATAGATAGATAGATAGATAGATAGATAGATAATATTAGTGGTAAATATACACATACATATGCAAAATACATACATGCATACACATACATATATATTTTTTGAATAAAAAAAAATTCCAAGAGGATAGAATCCAGGTAGAACTCAATGTCAGGACAGAGTAAGGATATAATAAAAAATTAAAATTAATATTCCATGGTCATAATTTATTCCATTGGAATCGTAAATACGATCAATTCATCAGACTGACAAATTCAAAAATTTTGAATTTTTAGGTCTGATGAATTGACATATTTATATTTCAATGGAATAAATTATGACCATGGAATATTAGTGTTTAATTTTATTATATATATATATATATATATATATATATATATATATATATATATATATATATATATATATATGTATTTTGCCAGCAATCCTTCTTTCATACACATTTCATTGAAATACGATTTTGGGATTTCATTATTTATATGTTTGATTTCGTTCTTAGCTTTCGTTATTTGTCGTAAAAGAAGATTTTTCATGAAAGTTATAGTGTTGCTTTCCTTGTTGATTGCCATGTCATGCAATTTAAAATTTGTGTATTTAGGCAGCAATCCTTTCCTTTTATGACATTTCATTGAATACGACAGACAAGGTGCTTTGATTTAGTTTTTCGTCGTATTCAATGAAAGATGTGTGTGTGTGTGTGTGTGTGTGTGTGTGTGTGTGTGTGTGTGTGTGTGTGTGTGTGTGTGTGTCAGGTGCTGTTAAAGCTGTTTGAAAATAGATAATTGCGCTTCTCACACCGGTTTGATCGGGCGATGTTCAAGCGCAGGTAAAGACTAGTGATCTGAATGCTGGTTTTCAAGAGATGCACACACTCCACACTTTCAAAATTGGGGCGCCATAATCTTTTTCCTCTATAAACCTTTCATGTTTGATCTTCGACCAGGTGTGACTGTGCTAGGTCGAATATTATATCGATTAATATCTTGAAAGAGATCTTTCATGTCGGGGTCGTTTGGTTTTGTTTCGTAGCATATCAACCTCTATAGGTTACATTATTTACATTGTTCGGTCTGTTGTCCTCATCTTTATTGTCATATTCACGACGTTTCGGTCGTTGTACGCTCCGGCCTTCTTCAGGCGATTGGAATTTCGAACTGAATCCTTTATTTCGTCCACCGGGGTAAACTGTTCTAGCTCCCCATGTCATGCCTCTTCCGGTCGAAACGTCGTGAATATGGCAATAAAGATGAGGACAACAGTCCGAGCAATGTAAATAATGTAGTTACAATACCTAATCTCAGAAATATAGACCGCTACTCTATGGGTTATTTAATGCTGAAATCTAAACATTTTGTACACTATTTCATGGCTTCAACTAAATATATTTTGAACGCAATTGTATGCCTTCAACTACAGATGAAATGTATTGTTGGTCATTTTGCTATAAAATTTATTATTGGTAATTCTTCTTTCAAATATATTGTTGATAATTCTACTGTAAAATGTATTGCTGGTCATTTTGATTTAAATATGTATTGTTGATCATTTTACTATAAATATGTATTTCTGGTATTTTTACTGTAAAAATGTATTTTTACACTTTCATAGTGCTTTGTTTTTGTTTGGGGTGTTTACTATTTGCTTATAGCTGGGACCGTAGCAGGTGCTAGCAACCCGGGCTAGGATGGACCTGGGAACAAAAGCAATTAATAGGTGGTTCCACGCTCCTGAAAACCTCCACTCTCCCTTGCTGCCGGATGTAGTTTATTATCATACCCAGGACTACTTTTTGTAGGAGACACCACGTTTATTAAGGTCCTTCTACTTAAATAAAACCTACATAGTAACCTCCAGAGAATTCTGAACTGTACCCATTATTTAATCTACGGGTTTAGACTGGTCTCGTTCCGCTGTTCTTATCTAGGGCTATCGTTGAGGTTTTTTTTTTTTTTTTTATTTGGTACTGCTCACTTATTGTCCTCGCCACAGAAATTCAGAGAGAAATATATTAAAAAAAATGGATTCTGTTAAGTTTTCGACTGCTATTCTGCTTATTTGACGACGATTTTCTCTTCTGTTACCCGGAACAGGGAATGTCCTACAGACGTGATGTGCTGTCAATTCACTACGGATGGAAAACGGCTCGCTGTTGGACTCTCTGACGCAACCATTCGTGTAAGAAACCTTTTTTTTGTCTCTCCTTTAGAATGTTTCAAGGCATATATAAATTAATTTCCAACAAAAGTGCCAGTTTACAAATATATTTAATCTTCTCGTCAAAAAGATAAAAGATATTTACCTGATAAGAACGACAACAGTGATGTATAAATATTTACGAGGTTTGCTATTTCTGACACAAGGCTACATGTGTGAGGTAACCAATAAGTATCGTCATCATCAGATGCTTGACACTTATGGTCTTCTTTCACATTACTTTATGTATAGACACATTAACAATAACGAAAAAATGACTTGATTTAATATTCACTTCATTTAATACACAGTTTATACGTGCTTTATTTAATATATATTTTACTATGAACTTAATAAAGGGCGTTCCAAGAACTTGGGCCAATTTTAAATGTGGATTAAGTTTAATCGTCTAATGATTTTTTTCTTTTTCTTTCAGATTTAACAACTTAAGTCTGGCATTTTCAAGCACGGAAAGATTAACAATCAAACGCGATATTTTGGTCAGCATAATCGACCAACAGAGAGTGCAATTGGAAACGATGTAACGTTGTTGTGGAGAGGTTCAATTCCAATGCGCGATGACGAATAGAGGGGTCTGGATTTTTGGCCACATTTCTTGTGCACTGAAGCAATGTTTTCAGCTGAACGGCGTAAACGAACACGCAAAGGTGTTTTCACATCTGCCACCAACCTAGTTTGGTTGAATTTACGAACAATTTTTCCAATTGCACTCTTGAAACTTTAACACATTGTTTGATTGCTAATCTTTCTATGGTTGAAATTGCCAAAGACTTAAGTTGTTAAATCTGAAAGAAAAAGAAAAAAAATCATTAGGCGCTTAAAGTTAATTCACATTTAAAATCGATCCAATTTATTGGAACACCCTTTATATGTACTGTATTTAATAAGTAATCAATATTATAGAATAATAACTGCTTCTATGTCCATTACACGCTGTTTTCTTCTATCCTTTTTGCATTCAGTCTTGCGAGTGTCAAATTCTCCAAACCTTCCTTCCTCATTATGTATCCTAGACATTTCAACTTTCTGATTCTAACTATAATTATTCCTTTTTTGTTTCCATTTTCATTATAACGTCCCCGTCAGGAACATGTTCAATCCATGGTATTCTTAGCATCCTTCTGTAGAACCACATCTCTGTTGCTACAAGTCTCTCCTTTATCTATGTGAAATTATCAGCATTCACATCCATATAGGAAGATTAGGACCACAGATGTTATTAAAGTAAATAAAAAAATCGTTGATCTTAATAAATTATTGAAAAAGATTGTGTCCGATCAGAAAATTAAAAACAAAAATTTACATACTCACAAAAAAGCATTTATTATTCAAATACGTAGTTTCCACAATTTTTATCATTTGTCCCTCATCGTTCAACAAGTTGCTTGATGCCATTTTCGTAGAATCTTCGAGTTGCAAGATTGTGAGGTAGTTTTCGATTGTACAGAATCATTTTTTTAGTCATTTGAATTGTTCTGTTGAGATTGGAACAAATGAAAATCTGATGGAACCAAGTTAGAAGAATACAGTGGGTGGTGAAGGGTGTGTCCCATTTCGACTCTTTAAGCCTCTGCAAGGGGGGACTGTTTTGCAACATGCGGTCTTGCGTTGCCGTAGTGGGAAATGACACCTTTTTGATTTGAAGTCTCTTCAAATGGCGAAATTCAGTTGAAATATCGATTTAACAATCTCTCCTGTCGAAATCCATGGTGTATTCTCCACGGTGACAAGCAGGAAGGTCACCCGGGGTGTGGTTGAGTGTTTAGGTTAAAGTCCCCGTAACAATATCTGCCAAATCACTTTCTGATCTGGAGCACGATCCAAATAAATCTTTTGATTTTTTTTTTTTTTTTTTTTTGTCGCGGTTCTAACGCTTACGCCTTTCCGAAATTCATGTAGCATAATATTGTGAAAGTGCAACTTTTCAACCACCATCTTTAAGCCATTCATTTCTGAACAAAACGTTAACATTCGACAATGTCTGAGTCAGAACTGAACGATGCAAGGTTTCAATCTCGAACACACCAGAAATGAACACCAAAACAAACACCAGTGCCAAGTTGCAGTCATTTTCTATTAACAATTGTTATACCGTACATATGGACTATAATGGTTATGTCTCAATCCTTATAAATACAGTGGAATATACTGTATGTGGGATTGACTTGTGATTCACTTTCAAGTGTGCTTGTCAAACTCTCTGTCTCCGGACAGAGAGGAACCCAGACAAGGCTATGTCGAAGGGCAGAGGCTCGTCTGGGGATTGTAGACAGCTACCCGAACCCGTGTATACAAGGTTGGGAATTTTTGCCAAGCTTACGGACTATTTTCCTCCACATTAAATTCTCCTGACCGTGTGAGGAGGTTACTAAATATCTTAACTTGCGATTCACCTTGATTCACTTCTAACTCGTCACTAGCAGCTGATTGCTAACTACACGCCGCTGGCGAATCTTGTATGCTGTTCCTGTTATAAATATTATCATTCCATTTCCAACCTTAGTTTTGGTTATTCTTATTCAGTAACCTTTTCCTAGGTTAGAACAACAATGAAAACCGGACACAAACTTTTGTAATGATCTAATAATATTAGCTTTACAGGGTCACACGTATTAATTTCACTGCCAAGCGATAATTTCACCATAGTGATTCATTCTGTTTAATTAAATTTTCAAACTGTACTTAATTTAACTAGGAGCCCCACTCAAACCTCTCAGTATCAATTACGAGATAGAAATGGGCATTTTTAGATTAATATTAAAAAAAAGAGATGGATATTATTGTTGGTTTTTGAATAGTCCTTTTTCATCTTATCTATGTTGCTTTTAAACCTGGTAGGACTAACCTTGATTTGTCTGAACTTCTTCCATGAAATAGTCTATTATTATTTCTTTTTATTACTATTTCTTTCATCTTATTTCTGAACTTTTTACTGCGGATCGTCACCGTACGATCGTGAGGAAACAGCGTGAATCGTAATTAACGAATAATCATTCGCCAGGATTCGAACTCTCTTTTTTTTAATAGGAGTAAATAGGTTCGCCCATTACCCGGTTCACACTTCTCCCCGGTCTTTTGAACAGGAGTATCCTTTGTTTCCTGTTTAGAATTGGGTTTCCGGTTCCTTATAAAGTCTTTTCATATTTTTTCACGCCCAGTAGCCCTTCGCGTCATAGTGGCATTATCCCCTTGCTTTGGGTTATTGATTATATATATATATATATATATATATATATATATATATATATATATATATATATATTTAAATATATAATATATATCTGATATATTTTGAAAAATATACGGAAAAACAAACAAAAATCCTAATATGCAATTATGCTGTTTTAATTTTAATATAATGTCAACGTCGGACGTTTCGGTCTAGTAGACCATCTTCAGGACATATTCATAAAACATAATTAACATTAGACTATATTCAATTCATTGGCATAAGAGTATTCACTAAACAAAACAATCAAATAAACTGAAATTTTTAAGATCAGCGTTCCCTTTCAATATGATCACGTCGGCGTCACGTGGGCGATGTTGTGAAAACGTATTCCTAAAATACAGTATATTTTGAATGAAAAATGAAAAGAATTTTATTCTAAAATTTTTATGTACGTTTGTCGAGCATTAATCTTGCTAGAAAAGGGAAAATATTAAAGAAGCCGAGTCTAGTATTCATCGTGCGTGAGATAGATATTATGCCTGCCTCATAAATCCGTCTAAGATTTTTATTATGAATAGATTTTAAAATCTTCACAGAATCAAAAAAATTTCAGTTATCTGTTTTGATTAGTCTTACTCTTATGTCCATCGTCTTTTCATGTTGAATTAAATATAGTCTAATGTTAATTATGTTTTTTATGAATATGTCCTGAAGATGGTCTACTAGACCGAAAAACGTCCGACGTTGACATTATACTAACATTAAAACAGCATAATTGTCACATTAGGATTTTTTTTTGTTTTTCCGTATATTTTTTTTTATTTTTTTATATATATATATATATATATATATATATATATAAGGAAAATTAATTGCTGTTTCATGCATTAATTTTATTCAGTTAGCTCATTATGCAAGCCGCTGTAGTCACCATTCCGAATCCATCTCACAATTGTGGTCCATGGTGATATTCAAAAATGAATTCCTTTTGCACCGATGATGCTGAGGTTACCCCGTCCGTTTCTCCTCTGAGAGGGGGGGGGTCGTTTTTTTTTTGTTTTGTTTTTTTTTAATTACCTTCTTTTTGGCCTTTTTCCTAAATAATAAAATATACACGGCAGCAGGCTGGTTTAAATTCAAAGTTTCCTTCTCCTAGACTGGTTGCCACCCTAGGCTATAGGACCCAGTCTGTTCTTCTATTTTACCCGTAGCTGGGGAAAAGAAGAGATGAATTCATACATTTTTACCATGCATGTAAATTCTTGTAATGAACTCGATTGGAATTCAAACTCGGTTTTCCGATTCCTCAATCCAAGCCGCGTATCATTACTCCACTGCTGTTTCATAAAAACTAAAAAGAAAATAACATATTTTTTACCTTCCGGTTGTTAAAATCTAACGTTTTTCTCTTGAGCAGTCGTCAACGATCAAAACCCGTTTTCACTACTCCCTTATCTTGTTTTAGTCTTTTGAAAGTGTTCAGGGTATATATCTTCTACCGTCGTATCACACGAAGAAACACGTAGGATATAATAATGAACTAGAAAGGAACATGCTTCTTGTTTATCTATTTCTAGATCTACGACGTGAAAACTGGTCAGTTCAGGCATCAGCTGATCGATGACAATACACTGGCTTGCCATCTGCCCGTTACACAGATCCGATTCCGTACTTTTGCTCCAGATGAACAAACCGATTACATGCACATACTCATCGCATCCTGTAAGTTCTTTGCACTTTTTCCATTCATTAAAAAAAAAAGAAAAAAAGCAACTTCAAATCGAATTCGATTTGTATTAGGTTGTTAAATAAATTCGTTCGTTTTCTATAATTTTTTAATAATTCTAATGCGTCATTCAGCAATGTGTTCCGTTTCATTGCTAACGACCTGCCGCTAACGATCTGCCTCGACGAATGAGATCAGTAGTTTTTGACTCGAAAAATTCATCAAACCAAGATTTAAGCTCGACATCGTTGTTGAACGAAGCACCCTTCAAATTTTTAGAAAACAGCTGAAAAGATTGGTAGTACGAATGGGGCGAAATCAAAAGAATATAGTGGATGCGGCAGAACTTCCTAACCGAGCTCTTTAATTGCGTGTTCGGGCATGTTAGCGAAGTGGGACGAGCATTGTCATGTTAAATAATCACAATGCATATATATATATATATATTGACTATTTGGTTGCTTTGAAGCATTTCATATCACCCTGTCGGTAATGAAGCACAAATGATCTGAGTTGTTATGGCAGCGTTGTGACCTTGATTAAAAGCAAAGCAAAAAGATGTCGAACATGCTCATTCTACTTGGCATTCCATCTCAAAGGTGTGTCTCATCTGAAATAAATTTTCGATAATGTTAGACAGCACTTCCACAGGCTGAACAGATTTAATAAGAAGCAAAAAAATGCTGCGAAAGATTATTTTTCGAGATCATTCGCAGAATATCAGAAAAACGCTAAAAGTTGATCCCAAACGCGCTATTCTACTTTCTCTGTGTGGAACAAATAGTGATATATATATATATATATATATATATATATATATATATATATATATATATAAATATATAAATTTTTTTCATTCAAGCAGGTTTTGTTAAATAATTTAGACGTATTATGTTTATTTATTTTAGTTTTAATCCTTTAAATGTCCACAAATTTATTTCTTGGTGGCTCTAGATAATTGATCAAGAAAAATACCAAAATTTTCTTTCAAATAATTTTTATTTTCCCAAGTAATTTCAGTATCATCTGAGATCAATTTCAGAGCTCCATAAATTAAAAAATATTTTTTCACTGTTCATTTATATCATTTCAAATCCAAAATCTCTCAGTTATGCAATTCAGGTAACTTTGTACTTTTAAAAAAAAAAAGATTTTTTAATTATATTTTAATTTAGTATTTTTATATAAAAATTTGCTGCTAGAAAGATTTAAGAACCTTAACAGATTTAAGATAAGTAAAAGTTTGCTGATTGATGTTACCATCAGTATCACAACTCCAGAGTTTCGTAGACGAACCTCTTCGTCCACTCTTCCGGGGGTATCAGCAATTAACTGCTTATATTTTTTTATGCGCTTATCATTGGTGTAAGTTTTTTCCGCATTGTTTGTGTTCGTGTGTGCGTTTGCGCCCGTCTCTGTACATTCGTGCGCGCGTGCCTGTCTGCGTGGATGTGCGTAAGTATAGGGTTTCGTGATCATTTGTCCTTTTCTTTGTTTTGGGGATTTTTTTCAATTTACACTCGCTCCTTTTTCCTCTTTTTCTTTCAATTGTCACCATTTGTGGCCCATTATTACGATTTCTAGACATGCTACAGTTTTTAACTTTTGATTTTTGAGCGTTCTAATGATTTTGGCTATGAAAGTTGTATTTCGGTTTCTACATAAGTAATTGATATTAATGCTTAGATGATTATATATATATATATATGGAGGTAGTGTATAGCGGCTTGGATTGAGGATTTGGTGAGCCGATTTCGAATTCCAGTCGAATCCATTACATTCGCTTACGTGCTAATACCCTTGGGAAAGGTATTAATCGTCTTCTTCTCCCTCCAGCTATGGGTAAATAGCAGGACAGACTGGGTTCTATAGCCTTCGATGACAACTGGTCTAGGAGAAGGACAAGTCTGAATTCAAAACAAGGGCGTTGTTTGGGGACCTTGTAGCACGTAGTTACCAGGCCTCTGTATTCGGCCCTTCAAAAATTGTGGTTGGTTCTGCACAAAACTCTCCACACTATAATCATATCTGCGCGTGTTTGGCTGTCGGTTCCTAAAACTGAACTGCATAACCTCATAATCGAATACGACTGGAGAGTCCACCATACGTGTGTATATATATATATATATATATATATATATATATATATATATATATATATATATATATATATATATAATGTGTGTGTGTGTGTGTGTAAAAATATTTATATGTCTTCACTAGGCTATTATTTCGTTTTCTTATTTGCTTTGGTGTTAATTTTTAAAATATTAATTGTAGGAGTTTTTTTTTAATAAATTTCCCCAAGCAAGGCGAGAGTGCCACTAGCTACAGCGAGTATGAGAGTAAAGAGGAGTTTTTGGGAAAAGGATAAAGAGAAGGATACGTCAAGGTATTAAAAGATGTCGATTGATGTTACATTTGAAGATTATAGCTATCAGGGAAGCAAGTGATCGGAAGGGAGTTCCACTGACCGGGGGTGCGAGATGAGAAGGTTTTGGAGTATAAAGAGGTGGCTACATTTAGTCGTTTCGGCAGTGAAAGAATGGGATCGTGATGCCAAGCTAGTAGCACGCTTAAATTCATGCAGTTTGGGAACCACTGAAAGTAGCTCTTCGGAGAAGTTGCCATGAAAATACTTGTAGAAAAGACAGGGGGAAGCCACAGCATGTCTGTGAGAGTGACTGTAGACGGGATGCGAGATCAGGACCAATCATGTTGCATATCCGTCTCTAGATTTTGTCGAGGGCCGCGTGATGAATAGTGGGAGTACCAGCCCATAATATGGCAGAAGTATTCCATGCAAGGACGAATGGTAGATTGGTAGATTTGAAGTATGGAGAAAAAACTTCGGGCGCGATACAAAGACCCAGCTTTCCTTGCGGTAGATGAAGCTATAGATTCAATGTAGTTGTTCCACTTCAGGTCAGTGGACAGCGTGAGAGCGAAGAGGTGCTGTCGTGGAGTTGGGCATCAGCCATTCTGATGAGAGGCTGGGAGGGTTCTCTATGGTGGGTATATGAGAGCAGTTTCGTTTTAGAGGCATTAAAATTTACAAGCCATTTCCTTCCCCAATCAACCACAGATTGGAAGTCATTCTCAAGGCCTACGTCAATGATGTTGGATTTACTATTGAGGCAGGAGTAAATAGAAGTGTCGTCAGCGTAGATGCCAACATGGGAAATGATGACATCAGGAAGATCGTTGATGAAGATCAGAAACAGTGTAGGACCCAGAATAGAGCCTTGGGGAACACCAGCGTTCGTGGTAAAGGAACTTGAGGAGAACCCGTTTAGGACGACCTTGATTTCACGATTTGACAGGAAAGATTTTATTAAGTCAAATAATCGTCCTGTAATGCCGAATCCCTGAAGCTTACGAAGAAGGCCAGTGTGCCTGACCCTATCAAACGCTTTAAAGATATGTAAGGCTACGGCTCGAGCTTCTCCGTTATTATCAAGTGCTTGGTATATAAATTCACTTATGGTTGTGAGCACATCAGCGGTGGACTGGGCAAATCAGAAACCATATTGCTTGTCTGAGAGCAGATCATGGGATGTAAGATGCTTAACCATTTCGGCGTTGATTAAAGCCTCGAAGGCTTTGCCGAAGTCTGGTAGGAGATTCATAGGACGGTAGTTAGATGGCTCAGAAGGATCACCAGATTTCTTAGACAAGGACAACAAATGAGAACTTCCAACGGGCTGGAAAGTCAGTGAGGCAATATTTATATAGTTTAGAGAGGACTGGTGCCAGTTCAGGAGCACTTTTCTTCAGGACAACGGATGGTATCCCGTCCCCGCCACTAGCCTTATGAGAGTTTAATTTTGAGACGATGTCCAAAACCAGCGATGGAGTTATGTTTATGTCACTCAACAGAGACTCAGTTCTAGGGAGAAAATCAGGTGTTAGTACTCCGGATGAGTTGAGTGTTGAATTCGAAGAGAATTTCCGAGCAAAGCATTCAGCCTTATCAACTGAGGAAGTCAGTACCTCAAATTGATTGAATAGAGGTGGTATTGTAGATTTGCTGTTGTTCAGCACGCTCTTGCAGAGCCGCCAATAATCCCGAGAAGCAAACTTGCGAGATGCAATACGTTGTTTCATTTCTCCAGCAAATAGTAGCTTTGCTTCATTGAGGACACGCTTGCACTGATTACAGGCAGAGACAAACAGATGTCTGTTGCGATCAGACATGTCACTTCGGTACAGACGGAAGAAATGATTCCTAAGGGCAATAGCAGCTGAGCAAGTCGCTGTGAACCAAGGAGATGAGCGCGATTTAACTTTGTATTTTCTTGCTGGGAGGAAAGACTCGATTCGTGCTTTTACCCAAGAGGAGACCTCCTACGCACATTTTTGAACGGGGAGATTAAAATCCACATTCCAGGGTACATCGCGAAGGAAATCACGGAACGAGTCCCAGTCTGCGCGTTGATAAAAGAACGATATTCCGTTAGTAGGTGGTTCTTTGCTGGGGGAGGAGTAAAAGGAAATGTTAACAGACACGGCGACATGATCAGAGATGCCAAGAGGGCAGAGCTGCGTGACATGACCAGAGTCGTGTATGGAGGTAAAACAGAGATCAAGAAGAGAAGCCTTACCATCACTGTTACTGGAGAAACGTGTAGGAAAGTCAACCACTTGTGTGAGGGATTGTGATTGAAAAGTTAAGGGTTTGTATGCCAGCGAGGTCAGTTGCAGAATGTTTAATCCACGTTGTATGAAAGGCGTTGGAGTCACCTTACACGAATATATGTGCAAACGGGTGTAGAGAGATGGTTTTGTCTGTATTAACGGAAATGCTATCGAGTACACCACTTGAGAGGAAGGGGAACGATAGATAAAGAAGAGATAGCTAACAGAATTGAGGAGAGATAGACGGAGATGTAGATGGTCTGGAGGTTCAAGAGAGAAGGAGGTAATCGGGAATTCAGAAATCAGAGGCGGGTATTGACAAGTTAAGTTTGGTCTCGCAGAGAGCTAGTATAGCAGG